CAAAGCAACGCTTTATGTCAGTAGGCGTTGAGTAACAGTAACAATTAAAAACGACATATTTTGAAGGTTATATCTCACCCGTGTTGTGTAAATAGTAGGATGTGCTCGTCAGCCGACTCAATTTCGTTTTGTCTGCGCATGACGTCACCTGAGACCACTTAAAACGTCAAATTTGCACTATAGTGACACCACAGTAGCTATATATTATGTATAAACAGGCAATTTAAGCTGAAACCTGCAATTTCCACATTTACTTATGATATAAATCGTATTTAAGAATTTTAAGTACATAGAGTCTAAAGATGAACGTACCTAACCTTAAATATTGTGTAAAATTTGAAGATACGTTACCTGTTTTGCATAATAAACTGAATGATGTGCAGATGTGTACGCTGCAACACCTTTGAATTATTAGAAAAACAACAGAAATTTAAATTTTCGTGGCAATACATACCATGATTTCGTCAGTCTTTCTCTCAAGTGACGTCATCACAGCGAGTAGGCATATCGTACTATTTTCACACTACGATTTCATCTAAACTCAAGATTTTCTACATAATAATAAACAAAAATGACTCTTTGAACATATGTATTTATTTATACATTCTTACAAGCAATCAAAAACATAAAAAAAGACTAAGCAATAAAGATCACAGTTAGGTTATGAAAAAATACTACCTAATATTTACAAAGAACAAAAGGGTTGCACACTGTACAAAAGTATAAAAAACAGCTGTTATAAAAAGGTAAACGAAAAAAATAAGGAAACAAAAAACAGAAATTAGAGTGAAATTAAAAATAATATGAAAAAAATGATTGATAGGAACATAAACAAATAGTTATGTAAAATAAAATACATGCATTATTTTAGTCATTATCTTCATTAAAAGAAAATATAATAATACCAAGGTAAGTTGTCTTTTTTGATAACTGATTTTAAAAATAGAATTTTACGATGTTGTGTCATTTTTTAAATTCATTACATTGAAAGTTACAGTTATACAGGGTGATTCTAATTAAATAGTGCAACGTGTGAAACTTTTTCGAAAGTTTAATATCAATGGTGGCACATAACCTCAAACTTATTTTTTAAAATATATTTTGCCATAAAACTGGTCAGTTAAATGATCTTTTTCAAATTTGATGTACTTATTACTGTCAACAAATTGAATATACAGCTGGGAATGACGTTCATTGGTCAAAAAATTAGTCGCGGTTTTTTAAAAAAATTGAAGAAATTGGGGATAAGGGATCAATCTTACGAAAAAATCCTTTGTCCCAAAACATTAATAATTTTCATGAAAAAACTCATTTAATGCTTCGAGATAGTAATTTTAGACTGTTTTCCTTTGAAATCTAAGTAAATTATCGTTGTTTTTAAATTTTGGAAGTTGTAAGATCAACCAAGAACATGTTTTAGTTCTTACAATTGTACAAATCATAATTTTCTATGTTCAAGTTTTGTTTGGTTATAGGTACTGTAAAATGAGTCAATTTTAACGGTTTCTAGAGATGTCCCAAATCAATAAATGAGTCGTTTTCTCCTCTAGCTTGTGAATTTTGATGGTTTTTATCAAAAAATGTGGTAACAATAAGTGTACCAAATAGCTATTAAAAAATTTGCTTTGAGATTATGTAATTTCTTTAATATTGAGTTCTGGAAAAAGAGTCAGAGGAAACGTATCATTCTTTTTATCAGTAGATTCAATCAATACATGTTTTACACTTTATTTGTCAACACCCTGTATAATCATTTCAAATTTGAAATGGGGAAAGTAAACTAATACTGAGTTTAAAGCTGAAAATAATATAGAATAACAAAGAAAAGATAGTTAACTGTAAAAGCTAAAGAAATCAAGTTTAATTCTTCCTATAGTTTTGAAGATAAATATTAACAAACATTGAAGTAAAAAATAAACACAAATAAAATAAAATAGACTAGAATAGACAGACAGTGAGAGAAGTGAGAGAAGAGAAAGGTAACTAGCGGAGAGAAGAAGAGAAGAAGAGAAGAAGAGAGAGAAGAAAAACTACAAAAAAGACGTGAGAAGGGTAGAAAAGCAAGAAAACATAAATAAAATCACTTAGATTGCTTGTAAAAACACCTTCTCGCCTCCGCCACACCCTAGTCCCTACTGCATAACTTCTGTAGGATCACGCTGGCCTTCTTCGCTTTCGAAGATGAAGACTTTGACGAAGTAGATGAGCTACACGTGTGGTACACGTGCGGAGAACCGCACGGCCTGGGGCAGGTGCAAGGGACGATACCGCAGCCACACCCGTACGGTCTTCGTTCTGGTTCTTCTTCGTACTTCGACTGTTCTAAGCCCCTTTCGCTCGATTCGCAGTCGGCTGAGTCTTCACTGCCAATTGCTAAGGTGCAAGGTTTAGGGACCGTCTTATAGACCACGTTCCCGGCTCGGTACCCGGAAATATTCGAAGTTTCGGTTGAGGAAGAGGTGCCGCAACCGCATTCTTCGGTTTCTTCCGAAGCGGTTTCGCTTGCTGAGCCTTCTACGTCGACGAAAGTCTTCTTTTGAACTACAAAAAGTACGCGAGATCAGTTAAGAGATGCTGAACTTACCGCACAGTCGTAGACGAAGATTTTTAATGCTTACGTTTAGCAGGCACATATCCTAGTTCCCCCAAACTGATTCTCTTGATTGGCGAACACGTTTCGTCTACGCTCGATTCTTCTTCTTCCAAGGCCAATAAGTTCTCGGCGGCTTCTTCATCGACGGACTTGCCAGAGCAGCACACCTTCACCGGCTTCAGTTCCACGATTTGACCGTTCAAACTGAAGAGTTTCTCTTCGGGGACGTTATTCTGCCTAATCTGAAGAAAATACGTTTACATTTGAAGGACCAAAACCGAGTCAACTTACAATTTTTTGCTTGGGAAGTTCAATGGGTATCTTCCTGAAGCCAAAGGCGAGTCTGTCTTCTTCGTGGTTGCAAAGCTGTAGGGCGTTCTGTTGGGCGATGGCTATGGAGACGGCGTCAGCAGGCGCGCAAACTCCGGAGTCATAGATTGGTGCTATCTCATGTCCACAGATCGAACAGGTTCCTCTTCCCGTGTGTGTAGATCTAGCGTGAGAGTTCTGGCAAAAAAAAAGGGAAAATTATGTCACCATAACAAAACACGGGCCTTTTTCTTCACTTACATGGCTACTGCTGCATTCACAAGCTGTGCTCAATCCGTATAACCCTCCTCCGTGGTAAGAATGGCTGTTGACGTGATAAACGGGCTTGGGAAGAATGGCCGGCTTCACTATAGCCTTCTTGCAAGCACATGGGCCAGGCAGAGGGGTCAAAGTGGTTTTAATGATAGGCTTAGGGATCTCCTGTGGTCTTACTATGATGGGTTCGCAGTGTTTTACAGAGTCAGAGTGTGAGCTAGAGCTGCACATGCTTTCGTCTGAATCTAATCCGCAAGAGTCGTGATAGCCAAAGGCCCTCCAACAGCTCGCCTGAGGATAGAAATATTAATCGAAATACTAAGAAAAATATGGAATTTAACAAGAAGTGTCTTCTAAACTCATCAAACTTTGAATCTACATAAAAAATTATCACCCTGTATTTAAATATTAATTGATTTACAATTTGAAATACTGAAAATTCGCTTAGGTGATACATATCACGTCTATAAGGTCATTCACCTGCGCAACCTTGATTTTTGTATTTATTTATGAGTATAACGACCCGAAGTAAAACTAAAAAATTGTTTTCCTCACTGGAATTGCTTGTTTATAAAACAAATTCATTGGTATGACTAAAAATGCTACTAGTACCGCTACTATTGCATATTAAAGTACTTCTTTTATTCCACTGTTAGATATGATGCACTTGAAAAGTGTTTTCTGTTGTTAGACCAAACTAATTAAGTGATATATCTACTCTGAAGTGATCTAAGAGTAAGATAAGTCAATTGGAAACCATCCATAAGATTTAACCTCAATTATCGTCACCTGTCAAGAGATCTCTCGACAAAACACCAAACGTTCAATGATTTCCCTCCACTGCACTGTCTATATCACAAAAGAAGACAATAAATCACAAACTACGTTCATAATGAACGGTAGCACTATTTTATCAAACTAGTTCGTACAGTCGACATCACTACAAGTTTGCTTGTTTTCAAAATCTGACTTAACGAATCAAGAAAATCACTAAGTAGGAATATAGAAAAGTAAAAATAAACTTCAGCGACTTACGTTACTGGCTACCACACTTCCAATCAAAATTATGCACACTTTGAAAGTGAACATGTTCACGTATAATATCTATATTGAACCGACATAGACTCAAGCGAATATGCCAAATTACTAATTAAATTACAGTTTTTATACTTTTTGTATTGTTTGTGTGCTATGCAAGGTTAAGTATTAGCATGGCTTTCCCTTGATATAGTTTTGTTTAAAAAAAGTTCACGATCCAACGCGTCATGTAGATTATATAGGTTAATGAACTCGACAGTTTTCATTTAGATACTTTAAACTATGTCAATAGTTCTATGGCATTAAAAGCGGGTTCAATAGTACATTTTATTTTAATCGTAAATCCATTTTTAAACCATTTATATACCTAGCGAAAATTGTGTTTGTATTTTGTTTGTAAATGAATAATGACTTACACCATGCAATTTTTAAAATATTTATCGTTTACCAAATTCACCCAAATTCAAATATTTCATTGGCGGAATCTCACAAAAATGCGACTATTCTTTCGGTTCGAGATAAAGTCAAATGTAAGATGCAGAGTCTCATATCTCATACTATTATTTCTTTTGAAATTTAGCCATTTAGTCAGTGTCAAACTTTACTTTGCAACCAATTTCAAGGAATTAGATGTATAAATAAACTATAAACTTATTAAAACACATATGAACTTGAAATAAAACTGAAACAGCTTCATGACCTTGACAAAGTAATATTGCTGATTAAAGCACTTTGACTTCAGTTGGTACTGCGCCCTTGAACGTTGATGGGTTGGTATCTCTGACATCTGTCAACAACATAACCCAAAATTTTCTTGTAACTACGACGTAAACATAACATTTTTTTTTATTATGTGCGACAACGTTGAAAATTCACCGGGAAAAAGAGCCATGGAAATAATGGATACTATTCACAAAGAAGTAGTCTTCAAGAAGCCTCTAAGTATACCACGTAGAAGAAGCAAAAAGAAAGTACTGGATGAAGAGACTTATGTTGAGGTAGGTATAAACATCGTTTTTTGTGCATTGTATTATTGTAAAACCAATTTTTTACGTAGGAAATTGGTAACATCATCCAAAGAGACTTCTTCCCCGACTTGGAAAAGTTGAAAGCGCAAAATGAGTACCTCGACGCAATGGACCGGAACGATACTATAAAACTGAGAGAACTGTACATGAAATATAGTGGGAATAAACCTCCCACAGAAAGAAGTAAGTTCATAAGTGATGTTATATATACGATACCCATTAGAATTGATTTTTTAGTTCCTAGTCCGGCTACTTTCGAAACACCGGCCAATATACACAACTCCCAAAGTACCGAGGCACCTGTGACAGAAGACGAGATTGTCGATTTGGAGAAGACTGAGGAAACGAAAGAAAAACGTCTGAGCTTGGACCAGTACCTGAATTCTCACACGTCTCAGGATAACGAGAGCTTCGAAGAGATCCTGGTAGAATCGGAACAGAAACACAGGCAGAAATATTCGTATTTGTATAACGAAGAGGAAAAAAGCGAGGAGGATCAGAAACAGCTGCTGGCTTTGCCGAACATAGAAAAGCAGGCGTTACTACCAGAGAAGAAGTTCAACGTAGACACTTGGGGGTATAAAAATAAAAACTACATAATGTACACGCCGGACGGTGTTAGCTTAACGGAAAGCGAGGAGAAAGAGTTGAATTTAAAGAGACACGAAGTCATTTACTCGAATACTAGGCTGTCGACGAATCCGTTTAACGAGGTGCAAAGCAAAGAAACCATCAACGAGCTAGCAAAGACACAAGCTAAGGTAAGTGACAGAAAAATATTGCGGTGTATGATTCAAACTAAAATTTTGCAGGTTTTAGACGGTAAGATAGGTGTGGACGGCAAGGAACTGCTCAAAGCGGAGACCCCTAAAATCGGCGGGTTTGGATTCGTGCGGTCACCGTCGCCTTCTCCCAGCATTTTAGGCAGCCCGTTAATGACCTGGGGTCAAATCGAGGGCACCCCCTTCAGATTGGACGGTAGCGATACTCCTATATCGAGGTTAGTGGAACACTATTTATATTTTTTTACAGTCGAGACAAGAGTTTTTTTTTAGGTCTCAGGGACCATCGTTTAAAATGTCGGAACCGCCGAGGAGAGAGCAGCTGGCTTTGGCCTTGGCGGAGAAGGTCGGAGAGAAGAATAGGAGTCAAAAGAAGAAGAACATCGAGGCGCAGCGACGGCAGTTGGCATCGTGAGTACCGAGCACTGTATTTTTTGTCTAAAATTTTAAATGTTTTGTCGTATTTTCTTGTTTAATTGAGCGCAAAAGGAATTATTTAGTAATGTTCTAAAGTATCGGTCAAGGGGTTGATTTTGTAAACTTAGTTTTGCCTCACCAGAAATGTCTCACATTGAGAGAATAAATGATTGTTCGTGAGTTGTTAACGTTGCAAAAAACTTACTTTTTGTTCTCAGTTCTAATCAAAAGTTAAATTCGAGCTTTTCTTATGACCCATTAAAACTTAACGAATCGTTTGAAACATATTTATCATGTTTTAGCGAAATAACCGCAGGCTCTTAATTTTCCTCTCGCCAAATGCAAATACTTTTTTTTCCCAAAAATTTTTGTGTTATTTCGTTGAACAACATTTAACAAATCTCAAATTCCCTCTTTCTAATGTAATCCCGATGTTCTCTGCTTCTAAGGTTTAAAAATCTTGGAATTTCACTAACGTAATGTTTATTACATCCACAAGGTACAAGTAAGTACATTCTTTGTGTGGAACATGTCCTTTACAAAAAAATTTGCAATAAAAAAAAAGTCGGAATTAAAATAAATATGTATAAATTTTTGAGAGCTCTGTGGTATTTATGCATAACATAATTCTGAATGGAAGATCAACTATTAGACCAGGCGGGATCTGTTTTGGAGTAAATGTTTTATATAATATCGCTAATTTTTGCTTTAATGGCTCCAAAATGATATAACAAAACATAATTTCACTATGTGCGTGCTTCAAAACGTGTGCTAAACTTATTATTAAACAAATAGTGAAAAAATTGGAATTAATTCCATTTTTTTCTCTTTTTTTCAACACAGTTAAAAAACTATTCATTTTAGAGAAAAATTGAAGAGGAAAAAAGATTCGTAATTAAATTTTACAAATGAAATGCTTGCTTTTTGCTTTATTTTCTAAAGAAAATTTGAATTTAAAAATTTATTGATATAATTATTGTTTGAACAAATTTTGAATGTTTAATCAAATTGAATACAATGTACGGATAAAAACTACCTAAATTTGAGTAATATTCATTAATGGAATAAAGAAAAATACGAAAACAGTAAAGCAAATAAAAAAGTAGTAATTATCAATACGTTAATAGATCAATAATTAACAATAATTCGCATTTCAAAATGCGATATTTGGACTTTTCAGCTCGCGAGACATCGATTTAAATAAAAAACATCAAAATGGGGCCACTAGAAGCCGAGATAATCAAAATTTTTAACCGCGCCGCTATTTTGAACACGTGATTTCAATTTCGAGTCGGTCGGAGTAGCCGAGCTCTCGACTCCCCCCACCACTACCTCCCATACATTTTTCGTGAATTTCATGCTCAGTCCAATAGTTTTAATTGACATTTTATATGGGTTGCACAAGGGCGCAAGTTTTGCAAATTCACTCCTGGAAAGTACTCGGAATGACAAAGGTATTTGTTTAAAAAACAGCCCTCCAGACCTCGTAGATACGCCACAAATGCCGGTCAACTTTGTTCGACTATAACTCTGGAACCAATTAACGAATCACCACGTTTTTTTTTTAAAGAAGCGTTCCGAGTATTTGAAAAGCATAATTTAAAAAAATAATAATTATAATGAATTTATAAAATTATTCTATTTGTTTATAAGCGCAAAAATTACGCATATCTTTAAACAATTACCACGGCTCTCCTAATTAACGGATTTCAATTTTTCTGGACGCATTTTAAAGTTTGAGTGTCCTTTTTTATGTGATAACATTTTCTAATATCTAGAAGTCTTAATTTAGGCTCAGTTAAATTTGCAAAAATTTCAATTTTTTTTCAAAAATCTGGATTGCAAAATTATTCCTCAAAAACTATCAGACCGATTTTAACGAAAATCGGTGTGATGTTTTATTATATCAAAAAGATTTTTTTGGCCAAGTATGAAGATGCTACCTATAATATAAGTACTTTTAAAAAAATCGCAAAAATGGAATTTTTTCACTTTTTTCTGTAGTTTTTGCTATATTTGCAATAATTATGTTGTATTTTTTTATTTGAAAATAGGTATATCATCTGTAAAATGTAATTACGAATCTTTTTTTCCTCTTCAACTTTTTTCTAAAATGAATAGTTTTTGAACTGTGTTGAAAGAAAGAGAAAACAAATAGAATTTTTTTCAATTTTTTCACTATTTGTTTAATAATAAGTTTAGCACACTTTTTGAAGCGCGCGCATAGTGAACTTATGTTTTGTTATACAGGGTGATTCAGAACTTATCCAAAAAAAAATTCTGGATGTACAAGAGACTCTTACAAATACAATTTTGTAAAGAAAAAATCAAAAAGGGCAGTTCAGAAATGATTTAAAAATACACTTCTGCACGGCACTGGAAACTGGTCCACTGTAAAACCTGACCTCACAATAATGCGACTGGCATGGCGGTGTGATAAAAACGGACAAAAACTTTAGCAAGGAAAGAAATAAATATAATTTTATAGCACCTATTTTATATCGGCAAATTCAACTGCTTTTGCCTNAGGGAAAAAAGATTCGTAATTAAATTTTACAAATGAAATGCTCGCTTTTTGCTTTATTTTCTAAAGAAAATTTGAATTTAAATATTTATTTATATAATTATTGTTTGAACAAATTTTGAATGTTTAATCAAAATGAATGCAATGTATGGATAAAAACTACATAAATTTGAGTAATATTCATTAATGGAATAAAGAAAAATACGAAAAAAGTAAAGCAAATTAAAAAGTAGTAATTATCAATACGTTAAAAGGTCAATAATTAACAATAATTCGCATTTCAAAATGCGATATTTGGACTTTTCAGCTCGCGAGACATCGATTTAAAAAAAAAACATCAAACTCGGACCACTAGAAGCCGAGATAATCAAAATTTTTAAGCGTGCCGCTATTTTAAACGTGCGATTTCAATTTCGAGTCGGCCAGAGTAGCCGAACTCTCGACTCACCCCACCACTACCTCCCATACATTTTTCGTGAATTTCATGCTCGGTCCAATAGTTTTAATCGACATTTTATATGGGTTGCACAAGGGTGCAAGTTTTGCAAATTCACTCCCGGAAAGTACTCGGAAAGGTATTTGTTTAAAAAACAGCCATCTAGACCTCGTAGTTACGCCACAAATGCCGGTCAACTTTGATCGACTATAACTCTGGAACCAATTAACGAATCGCCACGTTTTTTTTTTTTAAAGAAGCGTCTTTCCGAGTATAATGAATTTATAAAGTTATTCTATTTGTTTATAAGCGCAAAAATTACGCATATCTTTAAACATTTACCACGGTTCTCCTAATTAACGGATTTCAATTTTTCTGGACGCATTTTAAAGTTTGTGTGTCCTTTTTTATGTGATAGCATTTTCAAGTATCTAGAAGTCTTAATTTAGGCTCAGTTAAATTTGCAAAAATGTCAATTTTTCTTCAAAAATCTGGATTGCAAAATTATTCTTCGAAAAGTATCAGACCGATTTTAACAAAAATTGGTGTGATGTTTTATTATATCAAAAAGATTTTTTTGGCCAAGTATGAAGATGCTACCTATAATATAAGTACTTTTAAAAAAATTGCAAAAATATAATTTTTTCACTTTTTTTCTGTAGTTTTTGCTATATTTGCAATAATTATGTTGTATTTTTTGAATTTTTTTCAATTTTTTCACTATTTGTTTAATAATAAGTTTAGCACACGTTTTGAAGCGTGCGCATAGTGAACTTATGTTTTGTTATACAAGGTCATTCAGAACTTATCCAAAAAAAAATTCTGGATGTACAAGGGACTCTTACAAATACAATTTTGTAAAGAAAAAATCAAAAAGGGCAGTTCAAAAATGATTTAAAAATACACTTCTGCACTGCACTGGAAACTGGTCCACTGTAAAACCGACCTCGCAACAATGCGACTGGCATGGCGGTGTGATAAAAACGGACAAAAACTTTAGCAAGGAAATAAATATAATTTATAGCACCTATTTTATATCGGCAAATTCAACTGCTTTTGCCTTTATTAATTAATAAAATTAATTTGTGTTTTTAAATAATAAAATCATTTGACATACCCGATGTTACAACAACAATTGTTTAAAATTTTATCCACCAACTTGTAAACACATTTGGGTCCGTCTTACTAAGTTTATACCATAACACAAATGCTTCACCATAATACAAATGTTGTCTTGCTTCACCATAAATTAAAACAAAAACACGCAACAAACCATTTTTGGCACTAACTACGAAAAAAACTATTGTAAACACCACAGATAACAGATAAACACTATCGCAACGACGACTGCAAAATGGATTTCAGTATTCGGAGTCGCTGAGGCCACGTGGCTCTCCACGCGTATTGCGAATGACGCTAGAGACTACAGTTGTCCAGCTATGTAGTGGTTGAATGTACTATAACTTCAATAATTTTTTTCTTGGAAACTATAAAGATTTTGCTAAAATTTTTTTATGATATTGACTCCATTTCTCATGCTGCATCTATTCCCAAATTTTTTTGGATAAGTTGTGAATCACCCTGTATAATTTTAGAGCCATTATAGCAAAAATTAGCAATACTATGTAAAACATCCATACATGGGTGTAATTTTTAGGTAAAAAGTGGGGTTTATAATTAGACTATCGTTAAAAACGGCAGAAAAAAATGAACGACAAATGCCATGAACAAATAATTATACACTTAATTTTTTTTATGTTGCAGCCCTTCGCCCAGGCCGAACACCTCGGCAATTGACAGGCTGGCAACGATGTCCCCAGCCGCGAGAATGCTGGCTACGTCTAGGCTGAAGTTGGGCGTTAATTCCGACCTGCGGTCGGTGTACTCGCCCAGCCCCCTCTCGAGGCTAAAAACACCGACTCCCGTGAGAACGCCAAAGAGACTATCGACTCCGAAGATAAACGTGAAGAGCAAGAAAACGGTGGAAGTCTCCACGGATGACTTGCTAAAGATTAATTTTCCCAAAAGGCACAAGGCTTCGGACTTTTTTTAATTTGTTAAGTGAAAAGTTTTATTTATTTACGAATGTAAAGTGTATTGTTACGGATAGTGTAAGAAAATATAAATTATTTGTTACTTGCTTTGTTTATTGTAACCCCTCCCCCCCCCCTAATTCTCAGATAAAGAAAAGAATGATAAGAGGTAAAGTTTCATTTTTGTTAAGATGAATAATTAATATTGTTGAATTTTTTAAAAATTATTTGGCAACCAAAATAACTCGTAGGTGTAATGGTGGTTGCAGTAGCAACCTAAAATTTAAACGAGTTTTTTAAATTTCTAATACAAAATTATGAAGAAACAAAAATGTTAGATTCGTTCTTAGATCCATTGGCTTTGAAGAAGTTGAAAAAGCCTCTTTTTTACTAAAAATTATTTTTCTTAAAAAAAGAAAAAAACCAGTAGAGTATTACCATATTTCTAAGATATCGGTAGGTACCTACTTACTTGCACAAAACAACCACAAATCGAAAATAATACCACGCACTACTGTACGAATTATTTAGCACTGTCAAATCGAAAAGCGTACTCAAAACTGTGCAACTACAAAAAAAAGGACATACCCAGTATCAGTAATAAACAAACAATTTATATTTTTACAACGGATTCGTCAAAAATTACACTAAATCAGGTTTGTATTAGAAAGTTTTTAAATTTCAATTTTTTTAAATAATTGTTAATAATTTCTTTATTTGACCCCTTTTATATAAACGATTTTTGGTAAATTGATTTCTTTTTGACTTCTACCAGCTGCTAAAAGAAATGATTCAACTTTAAGAACACCCCGTATATTTAATAAAAAAAACAGTTAAGAATTGCATTTCCAAATTATCAGTACCTCTGTTATTCTTTTTATTTGTGATCTTGCATTTGTTCAGGATTAGTGATACGGGTTTGATGGTCTGTGATTATAATAGTATGGGAGACATGATCAAAAGAGAGCTAAACAATTAACAATATTTTTAATAAAGAAAACCTTGAGCATTACATATTTCTGAAATATATGCACCGTTTTTCTTTATTTAGTTGTGATATAGCGTTTGCTCAGGATAACGATGATCTAGATGTGATGGTTTATGTTTAACAGTAAGAGATACAACACTAAAAGGATCTTTATCAATTAAAAATCAACCATTTTTAATCAAAAACAAACAGTTGAGTATCGCATAGCTGAGATATAAGTACCTACTCTGTTTTTTCTTTTTGACTTGTGATATTACAATCTGGATTTGATATTTGATGATCCTTGCTTAATAGTAAGAGATGTAACGAAAATACTACTTAGTAATTAAAAATCAACATTATTCAGCAAAAATAGAAAACAGTTGAACATCGCTTTTCTAAAATATAGATACCCACTTTGTTTTTTCCTTTTTATTAAAAGAATGCTCTGCAGATAAAAATCACCTATTTACAAAGAAAAAAAAACAGTTGAACATCGCTTTTCTAAGATATAGGTACCTATTCTGTTTTTTCTTTTTGTAAAAAGAATGTTTAGCAAATAAAAATCAACTATTTTCAGTAAAAAGAAAAACAGTTGAACATCGCTTTTCTCAGACATAGGCACCCACTGTTTTTTTTTTGCAAAAAGAATGCTTGGTAGTGAAATCAAGAACACTTATTTACAAAGTAAAAGAACAGTTGAACATCGCTTTTCTAATATATAAGTATCCACTTTGTCTTTTTTCACGAAAAGAATGCTTAGCAAATAAAAGTCAACAGTTGAACATTGCTTTTCTCAGACTGATTTTTCTTTTTGATTTGTGATATTACATTAACTCAGGATTACAGTGTTTGATTGTAATAAATGTTTAATGGTACCTACTAAAATATGGCCAAAAAAAACAACTAATGAACAACGAAACGCTTGTTACGAAAAAATATACATTGTCTCATTCGGAAAAAGCAGGGTTGGTGCCTATATCCCTGCAAAGTGATGTCCGACTTCCCCTCTTATATTTTTGATGAAAGAAAGGAATTTCTCAGAAAAAATCAGTAGGTAAAGTCATCTTTTAGTTCTCCGATATACTCAAAGACAATTAATTTAGTCCAACTTAAAATTTTCACGTGACAACCTTGTACGTAGAGCAAAGTATGCAAGAACTTCGATTTATTAAAGTTTTCCTAGTGTACATCCACAACTTTTATAGAAACAGTAAAATATATACGAAACAACACAAATCATAAATAATCTCTAATATACCTATCAGCAACAAAAAACAAAAAAAAAATGTAAATAACTGCTCAATAGTAAGTAAATCCTATCCTGTGATAAATAATATATTGCACTTAAACATCAGAGAGCGGTTTATCAGAACTAACAGACTCAACAGAGTCGGAATTTTTTGAAACGTCGGTCACAGCCATCACCGAGTCGGGTATCTGCAAAAAACTTGGCCCTTCAGACACCACGGTGTCATTCTGATCTAGTACGCCTACAATCGAAGCTCCTGCCTGAACGACACTCGTATTGCCGCTCTGATTTGGTCGTCCCAGTGACTTCCTTCCAAACTTATAAAACACAATCTGCGGGAAGTGCTCTGACAAAATATTCCTGAAAGTGCTGTAAGCCATGCACTTTTCGTCGGGCTTATATTTTTGCATATACTCCTTATAAGCACGGTGCAAGCTTTTCTTAGACGTCCCCAGAGGCAAGAAAACGTGTTGCCCTTCCTCCAAGTTTTCCTGGTCGGTGTGTGCTTCCACGTACTTCAACAAGAATTCCTTCAAGGCTTTAAAAGCTTCCGTGTAGAAGACACTGTGCTTGGCACTGCTGTAGGTAGGGTACGTCACGGGGGACACCCCGTACGTTACTAGATGGTCCCGAACTTCGTTCAGTTGTTGGCGAGTGCAGAGCTGTAAGTAAAGGAAGGCTTCCTTGCACACCCGCTGGCCTTTATACATATACCTCATGTACGTCTTTTGAGCTGATCCCTTGTAACTCGTAAGACAAGACGTCATAGCGCCCATCAGAATCATGTTGTGCTCTGCCTTGGTCAGCTTTGAAATGCTCTTCCTGTGGTGGTACACGCTATCTGGGTCTAGACCATGAAGGCAGTTCTTTGACAGGCAGAAGCAGCCTTTGGCTAGTACGTCTTGAACTTCATCCGCGTTCTTCTCTAAGTGTGTTGGAAGCTTTCCTTTGGTTTTGATTTTTATATTGCTAGCTTCACTGGTGGACACCCCATTTTCGTCTGTTTCGAGGGTCAAGAGTACTTGACCATCCATTACGACTGCGGGCTGTTCGTAAGTTACCATATAGGGAAAACTGTTGGGGTTAAAACTAAACAGAGGGATGCGGTACATCGGGAAATGCAGCTGATTTTGGATTTGCGATTCCTCTTCCATTTTCATATGATCACGTTTCAAGTCAGTTGCAGAGTAACAGGTGTCTATTTTTGTACACCGTGAAGAACGTTCAAAGCGAGAACAAATATAGACGTTTTTAATTTCAAATCATTAGAATTTAATATGATCTTTAATGATCAGAATAGATTTACATGAAATTATTACAACTAAATTTTTTAGCTTTCACTAGCTCTCTCTTGTCATTCTTAATCTTATTATCTGATTCTGATCTGCTCAGAAAAGGCAACTCTCATTGCGCAAGATTTACTTCAAATAGGTAGTTGAAAAAGTCTCCACAGAATCTTTACCAATCTTTCCCTTTACTACCAAATAGACATAATTGACACAGTCATAATACCTATATCAATATCTGTACTGAATCCAAAATATATATTCAATTTAAATTTTCATTGTAATTTAAAATTATGTTAAATCATTTTGAATGTAATCTAGATATATCTGTGGCACAAAAATCACAAAAAGTGACGAATTCAAACATCCGATGAATAGCTTCATAATAGTAGGCTTATTCCTAGTTCCGCAGATGACCACCAGGGGTCGCTAATATAAAATATGAGCATTGTTGAGGCAGATTGTTATTGTTACTTGTTTTTGTTTATTAGATTTATAGATTTTCATTTAGAGTTTTTCTCTGAAAAAAAGTGCAATGTGTGGTGCTTTATTACGTGAAAAGTTAGAAAAAAGTGTCTTTGGGGTGAGCAAACATTGTTTTTCTTTAAATGTGAATTGTAATTTGTGTAATCTACTTGCTATTTGAAGTTTATCAACTTTCTCCAATTAAGGTACATACCTAAAAAACTTTAGTTCACTGAAAACAAGCAACATCGGTATTCTAGGCACCCTGTAAAAGCAGTAAATCACACAAACTTTACAGCCCTGGCAGTAAACTTAAATATAGTCGGCAGACAAAGAGATTTGATACATATTACCGAAGTATTTGGGCGTACATAGCCGGCTATAAGACAATATATACCGTTTTAGTGTCCTCCCTTTCACAATAATACTCGTGATTCTTTTGATGAGCCAAGCAGTACACATAAATATTTTATGTTCCCTGTCCCAGACTAATTTTCGTATGCAACACAAAATTTGTTCGCCTAGTGAAGACCACTCAGCGGTGACAAGTTGGTTAATTTTAACGTTTTATGCCTTCTTCGATAATAAACTCGAGCTTTTGGTCTTATCCCAGCTCTAAGAAGTCACAGCCTATTTATATGCGAAGATAATTATGAGTAATCATTGGAATCATTATGACGGTAGTTTTGTATGTTTTAACTCTTGCGGTGATGGTCCCTTAGAATATTTCAGACTACTTCGATTTCAATTTTGAAAATGTTTGTATTTTTTCGAATTTCTAGGGAGCAGTTGCTCCCCTTGTCGACGCTCTTGAATTTCTACTAGGAACCCCTTTTTATGATAAACTAAAAGTTGTATGCCTTTTTCTGTGCATTTTTCGATCACTTATAGCGTTGTATGTACATAGTTGTATGTTTATAATACTCTATATTAGGCATTTCTACCTCTTTTCAACACATTTTCTTTCTCCTTTCGATTACAGTATATGGAATAAGATCTGGTTAGACATTTCTAAATGTTTACAAACGTACCTACTCAGATTTATGTGGAGATATTACTTAAACTAAACTGAAACCGTCTTCGCGGTAGTTTCCGATTAATTACGAATCCCGTACATTTCCAGAACTAAATTG